CTCACAAACGTATAAGTCAGAATAAGAAGCGACATAACTTAGGGCGCCCATTCATCAGCTGGTTTCTCCTCCGTGGGCGTCAGATTATATACGATTTTCTAGCCAAAGGGAAGAACATATCTAGTATAATTGTGGTTTTGGGTTGTGTTGTACTAAGTGTGTTTATGTGTGTGTGTGCGCTTGTGTGTTTGCTTGTGTGTTTGTTTGTGTTAGTGTTTGTTTGTGTGTTTGTTTGTGTTAGTGTGTGTGTGTGTGTGTGTGTGTGTGTGTGTGTGTGTGTGTGTGTGTGTGTGTGTGTGTGTGTGTGTGTGTGTGTGTGTGCGCTTGTGTGTTTGCTTGTGTGTTGTTGTTGTGTTGTGTGTGTGTGTGTTGTTGTGTTAGTGTGTGTGTGTGTGTGTGTGTGTGTGTGTGTGTGTGTGTGTGTGTGTGTGTGTGTGTGTGTGTGTGTGTGTGTGTGTGTGGTGTGTTTCCGTGTGTTTGTATGACTGTTATAAGCAGTGAGTAGGTTGAATTCTATGATAGAAATTTCTCCTGTTTTATCAGTAATATATTGTATTCTGGCTTCATAATACTGACACTAACGTATATTCCTTTTCTTTGTTTGTCTGAAACTCACGTCCACATCGTTGTATTTTTGGCCGAGAACTCATCAGTTATGCTTTTGAGAACACGAGTATTTTCTTTTTTATATGTTCAGTATACTTGGAAACAGTTATCTAAAGTAGAACGAACTGAATGCATTTCTCTTCCTTTTAGCTTCCTCCCTCTCTTCCTTCTTTCCTTCTCCCCCTTTCCACTCCATCATTGCCCTCAGTCACTCTCTTCCTCGTTTTTGTCATCCCTCTTTCGTTTTACCTCCACCGTCCCTACCTCTCTCCCTCCTTCCTTCCATCCCTCCTTCTCTCTCCCTTTTCAGTCCTACCTTATATATATATATATATATATATATATATATATATATATATATATATATATATATATATATATATATATATATATATATATATATATATATATATATATATATATATATATATATATATATATATATATATATATATATATATATATATATATATATATATATATATATATATATATATATATATATATATATATATATATATATATATATATATATATATATATATATATATATATATATATATATATATATATATATATATATATATATATATATATATATATATATATATATATATATATATATATATATATATATATATATATATATATATATATATATATATATATATATATATATATATATATATATATATATATATATATATATATATATATATATATATATATATATATATATATATATATATATATATATATATATATATATATATATATATATATATATATATATATATATATATATATATATATATATATATATATATATATATATATATATATATATATATATATATATATATATATATATATATATATATATATATATATATATACACATATTTATGTATGCATGTGTACAAGTATTTGCTGCATTTCGACTGCCCACATATATGTTTATATATGCCAACTAGCTATGTTCCTGTGTGCTTGTTTGTATATAAGAACAAAACCAACAGTTAGAAACTGACGACAGAAAAGGAAAACAGAGACAAGGATCCTCCTGCTCAATTGCAAAGTAAATCTGGGTTGCAGACAGCTTCCTAAAAGAGCTCACAAACGTATAAGTCAGAATAAGAAGCGACATAACTTAGGGCGCCCATTCATCAGCTGGTTTCTCCTCCGTGGGCGTCAGATTATATACGATTTTCTAGCCAAAGGGAAGAACATATCTAGTATAATTGTGGTTTTGGGTTGTGTTGTACTAAGTGTGTTTATGTGTGTGTGTGCGCTTGTGTGTTTGCTTGTGTGTTTGTTTGTGTTAGTGTGTGTGTGTGTGGTGTGTTTCCGTGTGTTTGTATGACTGTTATAAGCAGTGAGTAGGTTGAATTCTATGATAGAAATTTCTCCTGTTTTATCAGTAATATATTGTATTCTGGCTTCATAATACTGACACTAACGTATATTCCTTTTCTTTGTTTGTCTGAAACTCACGTCCACATCGTTGTATTTTTGGCCGAGAACTCATCAGTTATGCTTTTGAGAACACGAGTATTTTCTTTTTTATATGTTCAGTATACTTGGAAACAGTTATCTAAAGTAGAACGAACTGAATGCATTTCTCTTCCTTTTAGCTTCCTCCCTCTCTTCCTTCTTTTCTTCCCTTCCTTCCTCCAGCTCCCTATTACAAACCCTCCTTCGTACTCCCTTTCCTCATCCCCTTATCCACCTTTACGCCTATCCCCCTACTCCATCACCCTTCCCTCCCTCTTCCCTACCCCTCCACCCCATCACCCTTCCCTCCCTCTTCCCTACCCCTACCCCACCCCCACCCTCCCATCATAAAAGCACCTAAGGGGACAAGACAATGATAATAGCAATCTGAACGGAACATACTGATATCAGCAACGGGGTAGTACCAGCGAAGATAAATGTAGGTAATTTTTCAACAATCACACAAGGAAGCTTTAGGGAACGCACAGACCGGGTCAGTGTGTCGTCAAGTGTGCGTCGAGGGGAAGGGAGAAGAGAGGGTGGGGTGGGAGGGTAAGAGAGAGAGAGAGATAGATAGATAGAGAGAGAGAGAGAGAGAGAGAGAGAGAGAGAGAGAGAGAGAGAGATAGATAGAGAGAGAGAGAGAGAGAGAGAGAGAGAGAGAGAGAGAGAGAGAGAGAGAGAGAGAGAGAGAGAGAGAGAAGGGAATGAGGAGTGGGGTTGAAGAGGTAAGGAAGATGAGGGAGGGAGTGAGGAGATACTGAGGAGAGAGGTAAGGGAGATGAGGGAGGGAGTGAGGAGATATTGAGGAGAGAGGTAAGGGAGATGGGGAGGGAGTGAGGAGATACCGAGGAGAGAGGTGTGAGGGTGTGAGGAGAGAGGAGAAGGAATGAAGATGGAGAAGGAATGAGGGGAAAGGAGTGGGGGGTGAAGAGGCAAATGAGGCAAGGGAGTGGGGAGAAACTGTAGAAAGAGGGAGAGGGTGTAAGGTGGAGAGGAGGAATGGGAGAAATTGGTGAGAGGAACTGACCAGGTAAGAAGACTGAGGAAGAGATGGTGAGAAAGTGAAAAAGGAACAGGTTTTAAGAGGTATTAGAACGAATAAGTAAAGCTAAAGTAAGGACAGGGAATAAAGAGATAAAGGAGAGTGAGAAAGGAGTAAAGAGAGGAAGAAGCAGACAGAGTTAAGTGGGTAAGGAAAGAGAAACTAGAAAAAGGAAATATAGGA